TTTTTCTCAATATAGATATATATAAGTTTATAATTGTATATAGACTCGTAACCTATTTTTTAAAATTTAATGTGTCACACTCCGCCTACCGCGTTTTCACAAATCGATTAAGACATGTGATTTCCAAGCCAATTGGGTTGTAAAGTGCAAACTTGATTCCTTAAATTGATTGACCGATGACCACCACCCTGTAAACCTGAAGGCAAGTTGACATCTTCTTGTCGTACATAAATTGAAATCCCAGTACAATTATTTTTGTATTTTACACGTGAAATTTGTTTGGAAAACCAGTGTCATCCTAATTGAGATGGCTCTCAAACAATAACAACCAATTCACATAACATTCACGATTTTCTTTTCTTTTTTTGTTTTTTGGTTTTGGATTCCTCGTCGATTCTTTCCCACTCTGCTTTTCTCTTGGACACGTTCCAATCACCGACTTCGGTTTCATGAAGACTGAAGAGGGTCAAGGTTGAAAAACGAAACTTCTGTTTTTGCATGCAAATATATGCTATTATTGATCTGACTTTTAAATTTTACAACTCAGTTAACTAACTCCATATTTATATTTAAAAAAAAGTTTAATACTGATTACATAAATATGAAGTGAAAAAATAGAATGTCTCAAACCTTTTTTTTTTTTTTTGAAGTATATATATATATATATATATATTACTTCCATAATTACCCATACATAGTCAAACTTTATGATGCAGGACAAGAATAAAGAGAGTCAACAAATAAAGAAAATAAAGCATGTAAAGTGTGGTGATAATTAGACTACTTTTGTACTACCACACTTTACATGCTTTATTTTATTTATTTTATATATATATATATATATATATATATAACAATACTCAGATCCTTATCAATAACTATTGATTTGAACTAATAAAATATAAGCACTTTATCTTTAATTACCAAATAAAAAATAATAAGTATATATTCACTTATCAAATCAGATATGGTAGATAATTAAAAGAGGACATGCTCATTTATTATTGGTTAACATCACCTGTTATAATAATATATATCCTCACTAGTGAGGATCTAAGTATTGTCCATATATCTATATATCCAGCAGAGATAATGGGTTTGGTGAAGAAAGTTGGTCCAAAAGGATGTGCAGTCGAAAGGAGTTTGCAACAAAGATAATGAGTTTAAAGTTGGTCCAAAATCTTCTGCTGTGAGAATCTTATGCGGTTCCCTGTAGTGACTTTTAAGTGGTTTATATTTTGTCACATCATTTTTCATTTAATAGCTCTTGAGACAGCGTTTGGGTGCACCAATTACAAAAAATTAAAAACCTTCTTCACCACTATTTATAAGTATCTTCACCCTCTAATAAGGTATACACATAATGAAAACTAAGTAATGTCACGTACAAACTTAACTCAATTCAACATAATGTGTTTGGCAATTACACCACTATTTATAAGTATTTTCACCCTTAAATTAAGGTAAGCATATCAATGGTGATGTTATTATTAGACTCTTATGATCTTACTTTTAGATTCATGTGATGTTACTTATAAATGATGGTTAAATGTAACTTATAAATGGTAGTGTAATTATTAAACACGGTCTCAATTGTCAAATAGTAGTAAATGATGTGATCACATGAGAATTCACTGCAGAGATCGCATGAGAATTCACAACAAAGGATTTGCACCTCCAAAAGGATGTGCAGCCAAAAAGGATAGAAGAAGTGTAATACACAAGGAGCCGAAAATTACTTTTAGTGTGAACGCAATTAATGCCTTTGAATATCGAGATATGAAGGGAAAGGAAACTCACTGCAAGGATCGCATGAGAATTCACGAGGATTTGCACCTCCAAAAGGATATGCAGCCGAAAGGAGGGCGCAAATCATCTGATGTGCAATTCCTATGCTGTTTCCTACAGTGAGCAGTAAGTGGTCTTGGTTTGGCCATATTTTACTCCACTTAATAAACACTAACACTGTGTTTGGCAATTGCACCACTATTTATAAGTAACATTTCACCACCATTTTTAAGTAACGTCACAGAAGTCTAAAAGTAATGTCACATAGTCAAAAAGTAACATCACCACCATTTATAAGTATCTTTTACCCTCAAAACGTGGTGATGTTACTTTTTAGAATATGTGATATTACTTTTAGACTTCTGTGATGTTACTTATAAATAGTGGTGATATTATTTTTACATTTCACCACCATTTATAAGTAACATCACAAAGTCTAAAAAGTAACATCACCATTTGCAAAAGGAAACATCACCACTTTTAATTTCAAATAATAACATAAATGATATGCTGAATTGAGTTATGTTTACATATGACGTTACTTTTTAGACTATGTGATGTTACTTATAAATGGTGGTGAAATGTTATTTATAAATAGTGATGTAATTGACCAAACACAGTGTCCGTTAGCTAAAGAATGATGTGGCCTAATATGGACTACTTAAAAATTACAGCAGGAAACTGCATGGGAGCCTCATTGCAAGTGATTCATGCTCCCGAAAAAGATAGAAGAAGTGTAATACACGTGGAGCCGAAAATTACTTTTGGTGTGAACACAATTAATACCTTTGAATATCCAGATACGGAGGGAAAGGCGGAATAGAATTTATCAAAATTTCAGTTTATAACTTGGTTAGAGCTTTGCTCTCCCATATCCCAACGAGATTTATTTCTCCTTTCACTTTCGCTATATTACTTTCTCAAAATTAAAAAGGACATCATCACACCGTACCATCTGATATCACAATTAATACAACATGCTAATATGATTTGGATCAGTTGGTGTTTCAATATCAAATTTAATATAGAGTGTCAGTAGATAATATAAATTAAATCTAATTAAATTAAATATGGTAGCTTGTCAAGTTGATCTTAAAGAACACGCAACGCAATGACAGCTTACAACATGTTAGTTTTGCAAATAATAAATCCCAACTTACTAAAAACGGGGAATTCTATTTTCACTTTTTTCAAAACCAATTCAAAACCAAAACATACATACCCGAGTATCACGAATTGCGGTTCTAAAGTCATGCGCTACTGGAAGCAAGTTCTATAATATTTATTGTTTTTTAAATTAAAAAAAACAAATTAAAAATAATAAATCCCAAACCTATTAAAAACGAGGAATTATTTTTTCCAACCAATTTACTTATTTTAGTAAATAAATTGAACATGTGCCATTAAAAGGAATCCACGGGCTAGCCTTAAAGGGCGAGCAACAGTTTGGGCCATACTCCTAATTACACACCAAAACCTAAACATACCGAGTATCACGATTTGCGCTTCTAAAGTCATGCGCTACTGGAAGCCTATTTTTCTGATCAACTTTTACATGATTCCAAATTCCAATTACATATTCCCCACTAAATACAACTTTGTGATTAGTTATGCAGTGTCAAAATATATATATATTAGTTATGTAGCCCGCACCATTTAATTGCGTGTTGGGTATGATTATTATTATTATTTTAAAAAAAATTTAAAATAGCAACTTGTGGATCTCTTTGAGAACACCATATCGTGTGGCATTCATGATTGTTGCCAAGAGGGTCAGCATCTTGGCCAAGGACATCCAACCGGCCTGCTAGACCAATTCGTGGTAAACATGCTTAAACAATGATTTTTTTTGTATTATTGTTATTGTTTCGAGATTTATTTATTTATTAATTTTTTTTTTTTTTGGGATAAATTGTATTGACACCCTCTTGAGGTTTCAGTTAATGTTACTCATATGAGGGTCAACAGTTTTTTTTTAACAATGGCACCCCTGTAGTTTTAAATGTCATATTCGTCCCTAATTATTTAATTCAATTAATTTACAAAATATCAACTCTGTTAATTGACGAAATTACCCTCATCGTCAAGCCTCTATCTCTCTTCCCTAATATTTAACTCTTTTTTTTTTTTGGTTCATTTTAGTACCCATCAGCCGACACTCCCTCTCTCTCTTCCCGATCTCGAACATGGCTGTTTTTTTTTTTTTTTCCCTGTTGTGGCATGGGTATGGGCTGGCCATGGTTGTTTTATTTTTTTTCCCTACTCTAGTGGTGGTGGTTGTTGGATGTGGTGTGGTTGTAGACTTGTAGTGGTTATTGAGGTGTCTAGGTTATCAGGGTATTTCAAATCTTTTATTTTTATTTTTAATTTTTTTATTGTGATGGTGGCTGGTGGTGATGGTTCTGGTAGCGTCTGGGTTGATCACAGCTGTTTTCAAAAAAAAAAAATTCTACTGTGGTGTTTGGGTGTGGTGGTGGTGGTTATAGTGATGTACAATTATCTGACTATTTAAAAAATATATATAATTTTCTTTTTATTTTTTTATTTTTATATTGTGGTAGTGATTATGATGGTATAAGTATTATTATTATTATTATTATTATTATTATATATATATATATATATATAGAAGGGATGAAGAGATTAGTTAGGAGGTTAAATTTATAATTTCATGATTTAAATGGAAATGTTGATAAGTTAAAGGATTAAAAAGTAATTTTATATAATTTCAGAGGTTGGAGGGGTATCAATGCAGATTTTTGAAACTTTAAGGGGTGTCAGTGCAATTTAACTTTTTTTTTTTTTTCAAAAAAGAGTTTATTTTAAAGTATAAAAAATTGGCCTCTTTCAATGGTAGGCATGTGATGCAATAATGTGGGGTCCGTATCCCAGATTGCTAGTATTTTTATATTAAAAAAATGAGCTCCAGCGGGGATTGGTTTGAAATAGAGATAGGATCATAGGATGAGCAAAAATAATTGCATAGTTCAAAAGTATGGACGAAACGTTAGTTTAATAAATGAAAATGATACGAGGACGACAAAACGATTGGGTCCCACTGGACTATCCATCCTTTGGGTGGCGTTTTCACACGCGTTTGGCTGCGACACGTTTAACATCCGTGGTCTTACTTGTTATTCTTAATACATACGGACTACATACATACATACATACATACATGTCGCAACTTCCAACCATGCAACTACAGCTACTTTAAAAGGGGAGGAGGAGGATCCCTAAATTTAGCAAGTAAGATTACCTGGTCCTCCCTTTACAACTCTCCAACACAATACAATCTTCCTGGTCTCCCCTTCTACCACTAGCAACCACACTCATCTAGGATCCTTTTTCTATCCCTTTTTATCAACAATGGAGGCCAAAAACCAAGATGGGTATTCAATAACCATACCACTCCTATGTGATGAGGATGGTGTGAAGCTTGGTCACAATGAACAGATTGCTCAGAATCACAATACAGGGACAACCTCCTTTTTCAAGACTTTTTTCAATGGACTCAATGCTCTCTCAGGTTTTCATTCTTTTATTTTATCTTATTTTTCTAATTAAATGTACATTTTTGGGGGAATTGAATGCCCTGATTGTGGTTTTTTTTTTCTTTTTTCTTTTTTCTTTTTTCTGGGTATAATCTTGACAATATTGATGAGAGCAAGGCCCTGTACCACTAATGTAAATCTTAATGCTTTGTTTGGTTGCCCAGAAACAAGACTAAAACTTTCTATAAGATGCATCCATATATTTAACATGGCACCTAATATTCCTCAAACGCACTGCCTAGTTCAAATATTGCTCACACTTTGAGGACCATAACTTTCTAATTTATTTACTTATTTGCAAAAATCACCAGAGGGTGCCTTTATAAGTTATAGGGAACAAATTTGGTTTGCTATTTTTATTATTATTATTAATTATTTTTTTGTATTTTTGGCTACGTTGTTGAGAAAGTATAGAAAAAATTAAGAGGTTTCTTTCAAATTTTTCTAAGGCTTTGGTGAAGCAATGAGACTATAAAATGAAGGACGACACTGAACACAGTTCATTTTAGGAGGTTTACACAGTAGGTTTTATGTTTCTAGTGGTAGAGTAAAAAAAGTTCGAAGTGCCAAGCGTAAGAGTTAGGTTTTGGGCTTGACCACAACCTATTTGTGTAAATAACTAAACAATCTGAGACGTTAGGTTTGTCTTAGTTTGTTACTCTTTCTAGCCAAACTTACATCACATTACTATGCATATTATAAAATGTAATATCATTTTTTTTCTTTGGAGCTAATTCCAGCCTGTGGTTTTGGTTTAATAACTATATTGTGGAATGTAGGCTAAATGAAAACTAAATTACCCCATTTTTTTTGGTTTCTCAGGAGTTGGGATATTGTCAGTTCCATATGCGCTATCATCAGGGGGGTGGCTAAGCTTGATATTTCTTTTTGCCATTGCCTTTGCAACCTTCTATACAGGCTTGCTAATTAAAAAATGTATGGATGTGGATCCAAATATCAGAAGTTATCCTGACATTGGCGAGCGAGCATTTGGGAGCAAAGGTAGATTGATTGTATCAATTTTTATGAACACGGAGCTCTACCTAGTCGCGACAGGGTTCTTGATTCTAGAAGGGGATAATCTACATAATATATTACCGGATATGGGATTCGAAATTGGTGGGATACAAATTGGTGGAAAACAGAGCTTTGTTATGATTGTTGGACTTATTGTATTGCCTACAGTTTGGTTAAACAACATGAACATACTATCTTATATCTCTGCTAGTGGAGTTCTTGCTTCTATTATCATCCTTGGTTCAATTTTGTGGATTGGTGCATTTGATGGCATTGGTTTTAAGGAAAAGGGAACAACTCTAAATTTGAAGGGACTCCCAACTGCTATTAGCTTATATGCTTTCTGTTACTGTGCTCATCCCGTTTTTCCAACCCTTTACACTTCCATGAAAAACAAACAGCAATTCTCGAAGGTAAGAGAGGAGGTTTTTGAATTGTTTGAGGTTTTTTTAAAAAAAAAAACTGTTTTACTTGCTCCATCTGACTTAGCTGCTATTTTTCTTTGCAGGTTTTATTGCTATGTTTTGTTTTCTGTACCATTAGTTACACGTCAATGGCAGTTATAGGGTATGGAATGTTTGGTTCAGAGGTTCAGTCACAGATAACTTTAGATCTTCCAATCGAAAAACTTAGCTCGAGAGTGGCAATATACACCACACTGATCAACCCCATCTCTAAGTTTGCATTAATGGTAACACCACTTGTGAATGCTGCTGAGAATCAGTTTCGAAATTACTGCCAAAAAAGATCATTTAGCTTCTTGATCAAGACCACGTTGGTAATCAGCACCATTGTTGTAGCCTTGGCGGTTCCCTTTTTCGGATATCTCATGTCGCTTGTGGGAGCTTTTCTAAGTGTTACAGCATCCATTTTATTGCCATGCTTGTGCTACTTGAAGATCTACAGGATTTACAGGAGCCCTGGATTTGAATTGGTGGTCATACTGTGCATCATCTTACTGGGTGTATCCACTGCAATTATTGGTACTTACACGTCTTTGGTAGAAATAATAGGACATTTGTAATTTGTAATGTTTGAAATAATGAATTTTGAAGTTAGTTTTACTTTTATTAATATCTTCTGTGTTTTCTTTTTCTTTCTTTTTTTTTTTCTATTTAATTTGGAGCTTTTGACTTTTCCACTAATTGATCCATTTGGATAATTGGACCATTGAATTTATTAATAATGATTGGAAAAATAAAGAAAAAATAAAAAAGAGGCGGCTACTTGTTTGTGATGGGGTCAGGGTTTATCTGCAGACACTGGCCTGCATGCAACAGCAACCTCCGACACTCATTTGGATTTGCCCTAATCTTACTCTATCCAACCTCCGACACTCGTGCATTTGATGGCATTGGTTTCTAGTGACAATGACTAATCCGTGAACAATTTAAATTATTTGAAAAATGTGTGAGGCTAGTCTAAAGGAAGGTGAAGGTAAATTGAGCAAATTTGTGGTTGTAATTGCTATTTTTCTAACAATTAATTCAACAGTCTCACAGATCTTGATCATGTTAAATACCATCTTGGCAATTAGGTATGCATGCAGAGGCAAGATTGTTCCATGATGCGATGTGAATCTACAAAGAAGTGAAAATTATATACGACATAATTTTTTTATTTTACTTATTACACATCAGTGATCTTGCGGGCTACACAAACCACTCTGCTCTATCTCTCACCATGTGCACGTGAAATTCCAAGGAACTCTATTTTCCACATCACTGTCATTGTGAGCTGTCATATAAGTTTAAAAAAAAAAAAAAAAATCAATTTATAACACTCATTATGTCATGAAATAAATTATTGACTTTGCCATTCACAAAATTGGTAAGATTTTAAAAGAAAGAATAATGATGTGTGAGTAGAATTTGGTAGTTATTAAATTTAATTTATGAGAATTAGAGCTTCTCATCATGTCTGGGATGGTGTGACGTATCAATTAGCAAGTTGAGCTATTAAAAATAAATTGGAGAAGTTTTATATTTAGGAGATTCTTAAGTGCATTCAAAGTGGTATAGTTGTGGATTTTAATCCCAAGTTGGGCTATTGTTGTTTTTGTATCCTCCTTTTCTTTGTCGGTTAATGTAATTGGAATATATATATATATATATATATATATATAAAAGAAAATAACATCATAATAAAGTGTAGGAAAGTTCCTACAATTTTTTTTTTCACAATTTATTTTATTTTATTATTATTATTATTATTGTTATTATTTTAATTTATATAAGGTAAGAAGTGTTAGAAGTTAAATTAGTACATTAAAAAAAATAAAAAATTATATCATTCATATTTAATATCCACAAGCAAAAAGTTGCCGGGTGAGAATTGAGATATTATAAAAGAAAAAAATAATAATCTGATTTGTATAAATTTATTTCAATATTTGGTCAATTTTCGTTTTTGGATGGTTACCAAAAGCATGACAGAGAAACGGTTTCAAGAAGAGAAAAATAAAACAAGAGAAAATAAAGATTTTCTGACATATAATTTTTTTTCCAGATGACCATATTTTTCGTTTTTGAACTGGTATCCAAAAGACCGACACGAAGACAGACATTTCAAAATAGAAAAATAATGTGCAGTGCACCAGATGGCAACGGGATAATTTTGACATGTAACCGTTTAGAAATCCTCATCCCGTCCCTGCCTAAATAGGGGACAGGACGAGTACCCATCCCGTCCTGTTTAGTTTCATAATTTCTTCTCTTTTTAAATTTTTTTTTCCTCAAATATAATTATATAACTATTGAAAAAAATAAATTTAATGAATAATTAATAATTTAACATAAAATTTAAAGGTATGAGCATTCTTAGTTCGTAGGGCTCAGTCACTCTTTAAACGGTTGAAAAAGTGTATGGATGTGACTTAGGGCTTGTTTACTAAGAGAAGTAATTTATGTTTTCTACTGTCAATTCCGAAAAAATAAAAATAAAAGTAAAATTATGTTCAATAAAATTGATTCTAATTTCTAAAATGAGGAAGTGAAATCAGTTTTAATAAAGAAAGTGAAAAGTGACTTTTTGATGCTTTCTATACTTTTTGCACTGTAGCCGAAAATTGATTCCTACACTGTTATCAACCGGGCCACTGTTCATCCCAAATAAGTTGTGTGTGAGTTACTGTGTCGTTTATAACATCTTCTCTCCTCTCTCTATGCTCGCCGCCACTCTTATCTTCTCTACACTCTCTTTGAACCATATCTCATTCCTGAATCCACCATGGACGACACAACCGAAGGCTTATGGTTGTTCTTCAAGGCTTCTCATTTCGAACCCACCTCCATCTGCCCAAACTCTTCTACCCATCAAATTTAAGCCTTTGCATCTCTATTACTAATCACCATAATCGAACCCAGATCAAGGCAAGCCACTTCTGTAACACCCACAGTGGAATCTTCAATTTCTTTGACGAGGCTGAGGTCCACAATTCCGGCATCGGAAGAGAGAGATGATTCGCTAACAGGAACTAATGGATTATTTATTAAAAAAAACTCAAAAATTATTATCACCAATCCTCCATGCTGCCTTCCCCCACCATGGCCACTGGCCTACCGCCGCTACCATCTCCTCCACCCACCTCCTCCCCTCCATAGCCACTGCCACAACCATCTCTTTCCTCTCTTATACCCATCAACAATATACCCAAATCAATTTGAACCAGTCACGTAAAGATGAATCGGAGAAGGCGAAGTCGACTCTCCATCATCGGCGACAAGCTGTTTTTTCACGTCCTTTCCCGACGAATTCGTGAAGCTCACTGTTGTTCAACCACTTGTCACAGCCCAAGAAGAATAGGTAATCAAAGAAAAAAAGCTAAAAACAATCCAAATCAGTTTTGCGAGGTCAGATCTTGAAACCCCAATAGACTGAAAAAACTCAAGTTTAAGCAAAAGGGTTTTGATTTGAGGAACTCTTTGACGAAATGGGTGTGAAAGTTGATGCAGAGGTAGCAGTTTCACGGTCTCTAGTCCCACTGAATCAACCAGAGTAAAGAAGATGGGTGAAGAACCATTTTAGGGCATAATAGACATACTGCATCATAGAATCAAAATGCTAGAATTTGTCTCTCTCAATTCATCATCAATCATCTAGATAGTGAGCATATGAGTGCGTCTAGTCTTCTCCTCTCTCTGATTGGAGAAAGAATGCTTGCAATAAGGCACGAAAAGAAATCTGCACACATAAACAAGAGAAAGTCACAAATTTGTTGCTTGATTAAGATTGACCGGAACTGAATCAACCAGAGCAAAGAAGATGGGTGAAGATGCGAAGGTTGTGGGTGAAATGGGTTCGTCGAAGTTAATTTTTGGTGGTGGGGTTGGATATGGTGGTGGTCGGATGTGTGGTGCTAGCCGTCGCCGAGCACAATTTCGTTGGAAGTCGTCGCCGTTTCAATCCATCTCGTCATGCTGGTTCAGCGTCGTCTTCTTCGCGAGGGTTGCAAAGGCACGGCTAAGATTTCAGCAGCTGTTTTTTTAGAGAGAGAAATATAATAAGAAAGCAAAATTATTAAATTTACTTTCTATTTTTCACTTTCAAAATAATAAAAATAAAATTTTCTTATTAAATATCATTTTTCCTTTTATTTTATCACAAAAAAATAAAATTATATTTTTATGCATTAATAAACTCTTAAAGTTTCTAAAGCTAACTATATGTTTTAATAAAATAAGAACAATTTAATAATTTACTTTCTTAAACAGAGAATTTTCATTAATAAAAATTATTTTCATCCAAATAACAAGTAATTTGTGTAAAAATATGTCATGGTTAAATTATTAATTATAGAATTTACACTTGACGCTAGCATTTTTCTGCCAACTCTTGTGGCTTTAAAAATGACATTACTATGCATTGTCAAATGTGTGGCCCTGCAACTATATTTTGAAATGTAGGTTATTGAAAACTAAATTCTCTCACTTTTTTTTTGGTTCCTCGGGAGTTGGGATGTTGTAAATTAGATAATATATCTCTGCTAGTGGAATTGTAGCTTCTTTTATCATCCTCGGCTTCTTTTTGTGGACTGATGCATTTAATGGCATTGGATTTACATATATATATAAATATGTATTTGAACCTTTTTCTTTATTTGGCAGCAAAGAAGTGCACTGTAACTTTTTCAAACATACAGTTAATTTCTAATATTGCACAAAATGAGATCACGTGACTTAGGTCTCATGCACATCGTATTCAATTTTCTGAAGCGGAGACCATTATTGGATTGAATGATTGAAATAAGAAATTATTAGTTGGTGCGGACCTATTAGAAATTATAATATAATAATTTTTTGATTAATATAGTCTGTTGTGCTGGGTTCTATGACGAGCCATCATAATTTGGTTGCGAGACAAATTACGATTAGTTCTATCACGCAATGCCTGAACATAGAAGCACATCCAATTATTTTATTTTATTTTATTTTATTTTTTAAAATTATTTAAATATGGCTGCTCGTGACACATGTATCCGTTGCAGATTTAACCAAAATTAAATGTTATTTCAAGATATGGGTATAAAATATTAGAAAATATAACAATATATTTAAGGAATAATTTTATAAAACTCTCGTTACTTTCAAATTTTGATCATAAACTTTCAACCTACTTCATAAAACTCCCGATACTTTGAAAACCGATCGCATTGCCCCAATATTTATGTCCAATCCGGGCTGTGAAATGTCGAATATGACCTTATGATTTATTATTAAATTAAAAATTAAATTTTATTATTTAAAATTACAGAATTACCCCTGTCTAATTTCCCATTAGACAAACACAACCTTATGCCCGTCTGCACTATTCATCTTTTTCAATAGGCACATTGTCACAGCTCGCAAGACCCAATTGCTCTAAACAAAATTAAAGGATCCCAACCCAAGCCACAAGACCCAATTACGAAACCCTTGCACCAATCGCACCCAAACATGGGCAAAAATCCTCTCCATGACACCTCTCACTGGAGGTTGTCTATGGAGGATCCAATGGCTAGGATGAAGCCAAGTCAGCTTAGCTTGCCCAGTCATTGCCTTATCACTGATGATGAAGCGCCAACTCAGCACTGACTTTTCAAATTTACTTTCTTATACCATGT